ACACACACACACACACACATATATATATATATATATATATATATATATATATACGTAGAAGGAGATACTCCGTATAAACCAATAGTAAATGAGATGGCATTGGCAGTCTTACTGTATGGTATGCAACATACATGCCTTGTTGTGAAATCGCAGTGATGGTATGTGATAATGACTTCGTATAAAATAATCTATTATTAAATAGTAAAATACTCGTGTAATACACAAGACTTATATTATGAATACACATTGAGCGTTGATAGCTATTTGAAGCATATGTGCTATTTTATTGATGACAAAGTTGCTTTTACATGCGCTTTTGAATATTGAAAGTATGTGGATGAACAGTCGCGTGTAATATGGCTGTGGATAAGCGAACAGGGATCTAACAAGAACAGCTTCCTGACGAACATATGTATATGTACATATATATTGTGTACGTTTCCATGAATGTGTATACACATATATATTGGAAATGCATACATAGATGCATATACGTATATATATATATATATATATATACACATATATATATATATATATATATATATATATATACATACATGCATACATACATATACATATACTTGTATATATATATATATATATATATATATATATATATATATATAGTATATGCACACACCTATATGTAAAAGCGTCACTAACCGTAGCGTTCCGAGAAGTCTTCCGGGTGTAGAATCCGTGCCAACTCTGAGTATTCTTGCTAAAATCACCGTTTCAGCAAGATCACGTTTCAGCGTAAGTGCGAGTCTCGTTAGCAACCAATTTATTCTCTCCTGTGGGAATATATAGGCAACTACTGACTGCCCACACACCCACGGGAAATCTGAACTATAAACCATTTCAAAATTCAAACGTATGTGTGAAATTGTGAATACAATTTTTGGAAATTCTCCCTAGAGTCTAGTGTGATCGCCTGATGGGTCCCACGCAAACTTCCTATTTTTTTAACGATTTTGTTTATGAATACGTTTAAAAAGATACTGAGCCATGTATACCGTGATGTTTATCGTAAAGTTATATACGTTTACGTTAAATTTTATTTCATGGCCCTATGGCTATCACTATGGATGTGCGTTCGGAGCCGTAAGGTGTAAAGTCTCCATGATTATTCCCTATAGTGTCCGTTGTTCCGCATAATAGGTTAGTGTATTTCTTGGTCATTTGACACGTATAAACGTTTTATGGTATAATACATATATGTAGTTGTTTGCGTTCAAATATATACGTTTACGTTAACAAATCAAGTTCTGATTTGTGTTCAGTTTTCACAGAAGGTTATGTGATTTGTACAATGAAAAACAGAATATTTTTTTTAAAAATAACTAAAAGTGCCGGACAAGTCTTCTGGGTTTTTTTATAGAAATAATCCGAACACAAGACCCTGTCCTACAAGCCGGACCAAAAACCAAAAATGAGACCCCGGCCGAATAAATAAGGACTACAAGGATCAGTGTGAGACATCACTTCTCAGATACAACCCCCAGAAGCCTTAGAAAGAAGAAACAAGGAAGACAAGACCCCTGGAATCTAGTTTTTAATTTTTAGAAAAAACAAAAATAAACTCTGCGGGCCAGTGGGAGACTCACGTCGCCAATGGTACTGTTCGTCTCGCGCGTTCTCGCTGTATGGTCCGAAGGCACAGGCGAACCAAAGGACGACGAGATTTTCAGCAAAATCAAGGACGTCGGACTTTTATAATATAAAAAAGAGTATACTTAAAATAAGCGTTTACGTTTCACTTTTATATTTAGCATTTGAATATGTAATTTATGTTTAAAACAATATAAAAATACGATGGCGCAAACAAAAGATTTTTGAATACGTTTTAACGAGTAAAAGCATAAACGTACTATATTTAGCGGTGCTATATGCAGACTACAATAAACGACCATTAAAACGAGTTCCTCTCCCGTCCATTCTTTTATTGTACCTTCACAGGCTTCAGACAGCCTTCACTCCTTCAGTCCTTCACTGAGTAGTAGAGAGGCTAAAGTCGGCCCTGAAGTCTGATCCCTCATACGAACTAATTTACAACTCACAAGAAGGGACAAGAGAAATTCTGGAAAAGTGAAAATGAAACACTTATAAATACACTAGCCATGGGCAAATGGCGTGGCCTGTGAATGACCCTATAAAAACGTTAGAAAATTCAGCCTTTGGATACGATGTTAATTCTACTCGCGTTTTGATTAGGCGAATATTCTGAGAACAAAATATTTAACCAATCCGAGAAAAATACTTTAATACAATGTTCGATATTTATTGGGAGGAAAACACGAATCTTCTGTTTGGCACATGAATTTCAACTTTTCAAGTCCCCAAAAGCCCGTCCAGACTCCCGAACCGTTGCTATCTCCTCCTTTGTAGTGTTGGTGGAAACGGGAAACCAGAGTGTAAAGTTGTAAACCATGGCCTACTATAAGTTGTTTCATTTCACACCCATCACCTATGATGTAAAAAAAAACTGTGTAAAATAACGAACATAGCCTCCTAATTCCTAAATGTCCTTTTTTTCATGAGGCTATGAATAAATATAGTGGATGTTCTTTTTTCAGGAGGCTATGAGCCTATGAATATTGAGGATTGTCTGTATGTATATGATTTAAAAAATAATTACAGTATAAGTTCATTCAATAGGTTATAACCACAGTTGTTGAGGGTGAACAGTTGGACACTGATCCGAGGACATAATTGATTCTAGCGAGACCGTGACTGTTAGTACGCTTGTCTGGAAAACACTGGTCTTTGATGGGGCATCACTAGTTGTTGTTGACCTTCAATGCAGTCGCCGAGTGCATTCGAAGTATCTTGCAAGCAGTATCAAGACAGATACCGTACTTTATAAGAGCTTTCGAGTTCCTAACTTAAATTTTTTATAAATGTATACGAAGTGATTAGTTTGATGTTCAGGATTGGCGGTCAAGTGAGAATATAGTACACCTGCTTGAAATGACAGACGTAGACCAAGCATATGTATCTATTATGCAGACAGGTGTTGCGTTTGAGCTCGTAGCAGCTGTGCTGGCGCGTTTGACCAGCGGTACTATTTCATCATTAAACCCAATGGCACTTCATCTCTCTGGGATGCTATATATTGGGTACAAGAACGAATATGGCACACCGGCAGGTTCGTGCTTCTTGTCTGCGTTGAACGAATATCACTTCGTATTGTATATACCTTGTAATACTGTGATTAAGCAACAAGCACGATAGTCAATATAAAATTTTATTGTTTAGTACTATATAGCACATATACGAATAACCGCATACAACAGCAAGTTATCGGTGCAAAATACGAATAACTATCAAATGTACCATATGTACGTATAACTGTTGTGCATGGTATTTGACCTGTCATGGCTATGGAACGGGAAACCACCAAGAAATCATGTTTAGGAGCACAGTAGAATATCTACGGTGAGTTATTCTTTCCTTTCAACGGTCATCCGCGCAGGTTGCAAGAATGAAGTATACTTAGAGAGGGCTATGTTTATTTATGGGGGGGGCGGTAAATATTGGGTTCTGGGTTATGAAATTTGGTTTGGATTTCAAGCACTCATTGGTTCTAGAAAACCCAAATATCTCTATCTTGGAAGTACTCGGTACATACTGACCTCAATAAATACGCTATAAATGTATAAAGTTTCGATACTTTCGAACGTTATAATAAGTGAATATATGGCCTAACTTATTGTGAACCGCGATAGGACTATTGAAAGAATAGTTCTTATATATTGCACCTTAGAATCTGAATATTTTACCCTCATCAAATATACAGGTCCCATTCAAAGTAAACGATAAGCTTATACGTAAAAAGTACATATTGTTTTTTATGCGTTAAAACGTAACCCGTATCGGGGTTGCAATTTCAACCACTCTATAAACAACGCACGTACTACATGTCAAATACCTGACAATAAGCACAGACTACTGTCACAGCACAGCTTGAATGGGTTCATTAGAACAAAGATAGCTGCATAGTGTACTGTCATAGTCCAGCTTGTATGAGTTCAGTAGAATAA